TCCGCCGTCAACTGGCGGAGCTGGCGCTGGGGAGGTACCGGTTGTGTTCGCAAGAGATCCCGGTGCCTCCGCGCATAGCACCGAGCCCGGCCACCGTGAGGGTTTAGTGGGTATTCCCCCTGGGCTTTGCCCTATTGGGGGTGAGTCCCACACTACCCCCGCCCAATCCTCCTACATTGGAGGATGGCGGGGGTGTGCGTAAATGCATTCCCTCACGTAAAAAAAAACAAAAAAAAAAAAAAAAAAAAAAAAAAAAAAAAAAAAAAAAAAAATGGTACACTGCGTACACGGCTAGGTCAATAAACTGTGTGAAGCTACGTCACTAGCGCGTTGGACCGACGGAGGGCACCGATACCGCGGCACCCTCTACCGTACTCTCTCGTTCGCACACCTTCCCCCATAGACCACCGAAATTCCTCGGCACGCGTCAACACCGACGGAGAGCACCGATACTGCGGCTCGCTCTCTCTTGTTCGACCGCTCCGGCCATCTCCGGCACCGACTGAGAGCACCGATACTGCGGCTCGCTCTACCACTCTCGCTCGCACGCCGTGACGTCACCCAATTCTCGGAATCTCGCGGCCACGAGATGGCTCATTACGGTAGGGCATTCCCGCAAGGGAAATTGTAAGCCGCCGGCCAAAAGGTAGATTTGATAAACTATTTATGAAACTACATCTATTCTGAATTTATCTGTTACAAATATACAAATGTAAGGCAAGATATAAAAACGAATAAAACAAGAGCATGTAAAAAGTAACATTAATAAAATGTCCATTAACGATGCATTTAGAATAAATTGTCTTGTAGTTAAGTGAAAAAATATATACTTTTCCGTTTCATGTTTCATGACTGTCATATTTATCCCTTAACCTTAAACTGAAACATCGAATATTTTCATTCCCGTCGAATCATATACATAGATACACGCAATATGAATGAAATATATAACACTTCATTTGTGCTAATAATACTCAGAATTCATGCTTTATCGGTAACGTCGGGTATTAACACTAAAATTGTAACAGGGTTACGTAGCCCTATGAACCTGGGACAAAAAAATGCATTGGATGATAAGTGTATTCTATACCTCGTCGGTGGTTATATCGTCAAGGACTTACGATCTCAGTGAGCAAATTCACTCAAGATAAAAAAATCGCAATCACGGTCGTGAATGAAGTTAAATCACGACCGTGATCGTGATTCGGAATCACTATGATAATCACCGTTAGTGATTTTGCACGGTATCTCTAGTATCTACTAAACCCGTGTTGTAACCATAGATATGTACAGCTACTGCAGCTACTAGACCATGAGCGTTGATGAGCGTTGATGAGCGTTTCTGCGTTTCTGTCACAAAGCGCCGCAGGTGATATGGAGCTGAAGTTTAATTCTAATCACCCTTTTTCTTAAGAGTGCCAGATCCATAGTAATCCGTGGTCTGGTCACCGCAGTGAGTGGTACAGTATCAAGTGGCATTGAATGGCATGAATGATGCGTTTTGTATGCAGTCTGAATGTTTGTTTTCTAACGAATTTCAATCACACAAATGTGTGAAATAAATGAAAATGTCTTTAGATCAGACAGTTTGTGAAGGTAAAAATAAGAACTCATCGATGTTAATATCATATCAACTTATAATATGTAGTAAAAAACCGTGAAGTCAAGAAGTAATGATGTATGCGGCAATGAGTGAACATCATTGAGGTTATTTTTATTGTTTTATAACTATTTTCAGATTTGAAAGCATTTGAAAGACGTCTGACTGAAGTAATTGCGAGCTTGCAACCGGCTACTCTGCGATGGAGAAGTACGTTTTTCTATTTCTCTATTCATGTTAGTTTAAACACTATTTATTCTGAACAAGTCTTCAACACAACAAGAAACAAATTTATTATATCTGCTATACATCCATTGCTTTTATATGCAAGTTTGTAGAAACACTACATAAGATAATTTAGTATTTTTGTGTAATTATTATGTGTTTAATATTACATTATTTATAGTGCTTCTGGGTTTTATTTCTGTTTGCACTGCTGTTGGTGCATGGCATTGGCTGACAGATCCTAATACATCTGCTGTATCATTTACACAAAGTCTATGTAATCATCCATTTTTTGCAATTGCCAGTGTTATCCTAGGTAAGTGTCATTAAAATAAATTAATATTAATACAGACATAAATGAAAATTAATTTGTTCCAGTGATATTATTCATGATGGGAGTTCACAGACGTGTAATAGCACCAAGTATTATAACACAGAGAGCTAGAAGTGTTCTTGGTGATTTTAATATGAGTTGTGATGATACTGGAAAACTCATTCTTAAACCTACAAGACCACCACATCCACATGAAACTTAAAGATGAATGTGTAAATTTACATTAATTCCTAAAGTGTTCATTTATACCTGAATTATTGTACAGAGTGCCCATAAAGAATATGTTTATAAAGAAGCAATTTTGATACTGAGATAGGACTCAAAATTTTGGTTTGTTATGTTTTGCACTTGAATGTTACCTTGTTATAATAAAAGTAAAAAAGAAGACTTCAAGATTAGTTAATTTTTATAGTATATACATTTTATATGCCTTCATTTTGAACACTCTTTAAAACTAAATGATATAGATGAATGTACCAAGTAATTTAAAAATATTCATTTATAAAGCAATATCAGTAAATAGAGTCATACAAATTTTTAAAGCAATAACTAAATGACTGGCGATTTACTATATATTACATTATATGTACAGTGATATTGTAACGTCCTAAATTGTATAATTTTCAATTGTGAAAGTGTTTGTAAACATAATTTTTTGTATATATTGTGATACAAAATCTACAAATGTATACAGAATGTTGTGACAAATGTTAGTTAACCTTCAATTAAATAGACATACAATACAACTCTTGCCAAACATACTTGCCAAGAGATAACAGAATTTGGAATTTCTCTATATTATCATTTGATTATTTTAAGTTGTTTGTTAAAAAATGTAATTATGAATTGCTGTATTAATGGTACCAATACTATACTTATATAAACAATAATAATGTATTAATTACATAAATATAAAAGAAATTTATTAATATATTTCAGTAAATAAAATTTATTATAACAAATTTTAGGTAAAATATGTTATTACTGAACGTATTTCATTATCAATTTTTTACCTTCATACAACTTTGTCGTTCTATTTATAAGATACGTAAAAGAAAGAATAAGCGTACTTTTAAATAAAAAATACAAATTATAACGATCAAAACATTTATTCGTATTAATATTTTGCATATTATTACAATTTCCGCATCGCACAATCACGCGATTTATTTCGTACAATATTACATATACAATATCATTTACTTATGCAGACCAGTATTTATTTAAAATCAACTGCAGCGTTATATTTTATCATGTATTTCTCAGTCCCAAAGTTATATTATCTACGGATATATATGTATATGTATATACAGAAGGGATAATTACCAAATATTGTAAAGGCAATATTCTAAATATTGCTGGTCAGCAATAATTCGGCAATTTTTCGTATGTAGGTATTTCTAACTGCACACATACTTTTACTGTGCACAGTACGTTCCATTATCCTGTATATGTATATATATATCCCTTTTATTTTTGTAAGTTTTTATACCATAAATGTTTCAGTGTTTCAAATAGCAACTCTTTTCACAAATATGTCGATCTATATCCCTTCATATTTGAAAGAATAGCCTGTATATTAAGATTTATTACATGCCTGCAGTTTATAATAGTTTCAATGTGAATAATATATTTAGAAATTATTTAATCCATTAAATAGATGTGTTTATTTGTACAAAATTAAATTGTACCCAAATTTATTCAATATGTTACCTTTTTAAATGTTCACTTATAAAAATGAATATACATTCACTTTATCAGCTTCATAATAAGAAACTAAAAATATTGAGCTGAATAGTCTTTAAGTAAAATACATCTGTAAGAGTTACTGGCATTATGGTTTATCAATTTCCAAATATTACATAATTGCTTGGCTCATTTATTCATTTCTATTAGTACAGTACCTATTCTGTGAATTGATTTCACAATATGTTTATTTATCAGTACTTCTCTGTTTCATGCTGTGTAATTAGATACGAGAAGTGTTATCAATATTTAATATATTAAATATTGAAAGGTAGAAAGTCATTATATAAGATAAATTTCATCACAAAAACCAAGCTAACATAGCATGGTTGTATTTGTCTATGCATGGAACATAATGATAATTTAATGATCGTGCACTTCAAACTCACGTGCTAGTGCATAGAAAATAAATCACCAGCGGAAGGAAGAGGTGCCAAACCACCCGTAACATCAGGTAATTGTGTCAAGTCAGGAAGATTAGAGATGTGTGACTTCACTTCTGTTCGAACTGCACATACCTTCTTCAGTTTTTCTTTATAATCCTGTAACATAACATGTAACGAATTAGTGTGTAAGGTTCAAATGATACTTTTATATTTCTTGCCAGCATGTGGTGAGATATTATAGTTTAGTTAAAATCATAATCATACTTCTAAAGTTGTTTGTGCTTGTTGAAGTAATTGTCTTTGTGCTAAAGTATAATCTCTAAGCATAGTCAGTAATCTCCTTCTATCTTCCATTTCTGCTTGCAAACGTCCATTGTAATCTGCTAATAATGCTGCAGCTTCGTTTACAGCAACACTTAATTGATCTGCAGCTGCTCTGTCAGCTAAATTTGCAAGAAGCGATACTTCAGAAACTTCTGGTGGCAAAGATGCAATGCGTTCTCTAACACCTGCATCTGAAGATGCTGTGTTTTCCAAATCCTGAAATGGAGAAGGCTATTTTAGTAACTGCCTTCAAGTGTTCTAGGTTCCAGGCACATATTTATACTTTTCATATGACCCATTTATGTAAAATTTGTACAAGAGTAAAGCATATTTAACTTCACCAGAGAATTAATTAAGTTAAGTAAAAATAATTATTATTTATAAAATAATAAATTAACAACTACTTATTTTATTACTTTAAAATAAAATTAACATAACAGTCTTGCTACTAAAATAAGAGATAGTATAAAATTGTTAAATAAAAGTAAAAAAAATACATTTGCAGTGGATTACTAATAAAATTAATACTCATAAATAGTATAAAATCACAATTGGGGGTGGATATATCAAACTGTAAATGTTCTTGCCAATATGCCTTATGGATTCAACATATATTTTTCTATATATAAGATAGTTTATTGCTAACGATACATATTCCGAATGTTTATTCTTTTTATAAATGGTATTAACCATTAAGGCCTTGATGAGTTCCTCCGTTTCCGGTGGATCTCCAGCAGGAGTACGTGGACTTAATGTAACGTGCAGCTCTTTGGTTCCATCTACTTCAACTTCAGTCTCTGATTTCTTTCTCTCCTTTTTGTCTTTCTGTAAAATGCAATAAATATTTAATTATGACTAAAAATACTAGCTATAATATAATGTTTAATCAATCATTCTACATTACCTTCACTTTCTCTATGTCATTTTTAAGCTTCTTTTTTGGTGGTGGTGTTCCTGGATCTTTTGCTGTATCTACGAATGAAGCTTTAAATTCTGCTATTTGTGCCTTATCATAAACTCCTCTTTCTTCCCAAATTTGAAGCAATCTGTTTAACCTTTCCCTAGTCTTTTCATCAAAGCTTTTCATATGTTCAAAAGCTTTTGGTAAAACAGTCTCAAATTCTTTCCCAAATTCTGGTCCTTTTTTTTTACTGTTTTGAATAACATCATTTGCCAGATACATGAACATTAACTTGCGATTATCCTTCACTGGAAAATATTGATGATCATAATATTTAAGAAAATCTCAACTTAAAGATAAAGATAATTTATAATATAATGAAATAGAATGTACCTTAACTATCATATTTTAAAAAGTTCTAAGGTAAACTGATTTTCAGTTTCTTTATGCTGAAATTCAATTTATAATAATTTATAGTACAAATATTCAATAATGAACTTGTTTGAATTTGGTAAATTATATTAAATTGCAAAAAATGTTACTCTTGTGGTAAGAAGAAACTCAGTATAAAAAAGCAGCAAAATATTTTACGTTATCACTGAATATCACTATGATTATTAACATAAACGAATATTTGTTACAATTGTATGTAAGAACATTCTACTGAATTGGCCGTAGATTTAAAATTATCATCTGATATAAAACACAGTATATTCTGACTGTAGGAAGTTACTTTTGACAATATAAATGTAATTTTGCAATTGACATTCGAATGTGAAAAATATGTCTACAATTACGTAGCAAAGGAGTAAGCTTACAAACTAACCTAGAAATTTTGACGAACACTAGTTGGAATTTATTTCATTTGGAATGCATATCGAGATGATATTATGATTGAGTAATATTCGAAATACGCAATTTTAAACATAAAACTCGTAAGTACAAATGTACTTACGATAATCCTCACGTACCTTTACACATCTCTTTGAACCAGACTTTCACGATGGTCGGATGATGTTTTCTGTGATGAATCAACCAAAGAGAAAGAGTTTGAATACTTTGTTGGGAGGGATTTAAGTCCATTAATCTTTTCACAAGTGCACTTTCTGTAAACCCTGTCATTTCTAGATCCCAACGTAACTTCGTCAACAACGGATATACAAAAACTACCTGAACTTGCCTGAACTACCGTACCCCGACTCACGAGACGAGCCGCACAAGTGCACAACTCACAGCAGCACACAGCAGTCACTAGGGTCTGGACACTCGGTGCATTATTTTGTTAACGCGAACAGTACCCTCCAACGGATTGGTTTACCAACTAAATTTGACTAAATTGTACAGGTTTAGTATACTCCAGTATACTCGTACTTAGTGATGGATACCATCTGGAGATGGCGTGAACTGCTACTTGTGAATCACGAGTGATTCGATCACGTTCGTTCCTAATCACGGGGCGGGATTCATAGTCGCTTCTTATCCTTCTCATAGGTATATATAGACGGAGCATGAACTGAGCGGGGGAGTAAGATTCGCAGTAAGGGGGTGGTTAGTTATAAATCGGGTAACTTCGTTCCTTTTCGGTGCTATTCGGGTATACAATCACGTTACATACCTGTATGCTATGAGAGATGAAAAGAATATACTTATTATACGTTAAAAATTCCGTATGTCATGTAGTTTGTATAGATATATGTATTTAACAAAATTAATAAATAGTATAAAGCATTAAATAATAGTACAGCACACAGCCTACCAGCCATTAATAACGAGTCGAATGCATTTGAAGCTAACCGACGTATATCTAACGATCGCTGTCTTTTCCCCTCCAATCCTACGGTGCCCTCGCCCAAAATGATAGCTTATGCTTCGTCTATATATGTCTATAGGCTATACATGCCAGCGCCGCCCAATTCGGACATTAAGCCCGATAGGAAGGGGGAGAGATAATTTTACAGAAAAAAATAAAAAATTACACTTAATGAAACAAATATAATAAAAAAAACGCGTACCTATGAAAGACGCAGAGCTAGAATGCGGGTGGAATGGTCACCCTATATATCTCATATCATACGAATACAATATACTTTATACATTGACACACATACACTAGAACAACATGATTTTATTGTTAAATATGTGTATGAAAGATGGAAGTATGTTTGAATAAAGAAAATGTATTATATATAGAACTTGTAGGAAATATTAAACGAGTTTTTGAAATAGGGAATCTACCAGTGTTCATGCATTAAAGAGAAACAACCGTGAGAGAGTAAAATTATTACGAATCTTCTATATCGGCTGCACAAAATTCAGTAGAGAACTGCGCATTCAGGTTACTGCATTTTGGCGAATAGAGCGCAGCATTGATTTCCAGGGATCAGTGCGCGATCATAGTTGCCTTGAGGGGTGAAAAGGGATTATGTATCGTTGGGTTGGTTCCGTTGGTTCATTCGGTTCATTCTTCGTACCTGGCGATTCATATTTCGTGTTTCGTTGCGCATGAAACTCGTGCGATCCTCGAGCGAGGCACATCGTAATGGCCGCGACCTGACTCGGGTGGCGTGCATGCGAGCTACCGTGTTCGCGTTACGTGCAGCAGACGAGCGAGTAAGGAGACAGAGTAAGACGAAAACGAGGAACGGGAAGATACCACGGACTTTAGGGTTACGCGATTTCGGTGTCGCCGCGAGTGCGTGTGGTGGGCGAGGCGTGATCACAGAACGGGAGTTTCGAGGACGACGAGCCATGAGTGAGGATCGCAGTGAAGATGATCCTATAATGGATCTCTGGTACAGCAACTGGGAGCAACAATGCGTCGAAGCGTTGGAAGCAGAGCCGGATTACGAAACTCAGCTACACAATGAGAAAGAACTCTATTCCCAGCAGATGTGGACAAGTTTTCAGACGACGGCGTCAGCCATCGCCCAGCTGTACAAAGGCGAGCTAGCACGACGATAACACCAATCATTATTCGCATCCTCCCTTGTTTCATCTGTAGAACGGGCCTCGAGGACTACGAGTAGCGAGACGTCTCGTACTCGTTGTGGTTACCATTTTGCGTGACATCCATTTTGTGCGACGTATAAGACGATATGCCACTGTTCTCGCTTCTCGTTTGCTTCGATTTCCTTTTTTTCCACCGCATATACATATTGATCTGATCGTGTAACCAGTTCTTTTCGACTTTGCTCTTTTACAGATCGTACTCAGGGTGTCTCTCTATGGCTACCCTTCCAGACTGCTGCGGGTACCGTCACGTCGTTGTACAAAGGTGCGTGCACTTTTTTGGTCTCTCTTGTCAACAATGCGAACAAGATAAACCTTCATTCTCTTCGTTTCTCTCTCTCTCGTTCTCTTTACTTCTCTCCCTGTCTCTCCCTCTGTTTAATACTGTCCTTTCTCCGTTGCTTTTTACCCTTCTCCTTGCTCCTCACCCCCGCTATTCGGTCATCCTTTTGTGCAGCCGTCACTCACGCGCACACATCGACGATGCATCTCTGCATGTGGTGTGCGTCAGAACGCTTTGCACAGCTGACCAATTCTGAAGGTCAGCTGTTAATTGACGCGAACTTTTAAGACTTACGAATATTTATAGAAAAGGGAAATAAACTCTGGTCGTTTTTGAACGATTATATTATTTTTTGTTTGTAGCTGTAAATCTGTAATTCAAACAATAGCTAAAGTTGTTTGTCGATCACTGCACTGCTGTATTTGTTGATCATATGTTTGATTTAGAAATTATGTTAATGTTGATATTTTTATACCACAGCTCAGTTTCTGACTAACAGAGTATATTTTTGTACCAAGAATTTTTGCTGCTAGAGTTTTTGGCTTGAAATGTAGATTATTTTAATAATGTACCGTAGAATAAAATTTTTATTTTGTCATTAGTTGCTTCTTACATATATTGAGCAGACAAATGGATTCATTATAGCTTTTTTCTTGTTTGTTATTGAATGATTATGCATTATTGTATACATGTATTCATTTTTATTGAGATGAACAAATTGTACGTTGTAGTTAGCTATGAAAATTTTGTATTGTTTATTTATGTTATTTGTACACGTGCTGTCAACTTGGATCTTAAGTGTAATTAAACATTTCAACAGATTCGGTGGACAGCATGCGTCGATGCAGTGAGCTAGGCATAGAAACGGGTCGTCAAAAGCGTAGTAAAGAAATAATGAATTGGGCTAGGAAAAAAAGGCGTATGATTCGCAGAGAAGACCTTTTAGCATATCTTGCTGGGAAACCACCTCCTCCTCGACCACATTCACATAGGTAAATATTTCATAGGATTGGTTACAACATAAACAAATGTAATTGTAATAGCTTTTATGTAAAGTAATTTCAGGAGCTGTAAAGAAAAATTTGAGCTCTTTTAGCATACTTCACTGTCTGTAAGATTTAAATGTTTTTTATTTTTTAGACATTAATGCAACAATTCCTTTTGTCAGGTTTGTCATAGTGACAGAATGCACGTATAATATAATTAATTATTTACAGACACACAAATATATTATAAATTGAAGCTTGTCATAACTTCCAGGAGTTCACCTAAACCAAGAATGATGGTGTGTGGTTCGCCTCCATCACAAAGTTCAACACCAAGTATGGTTGTTGCACCAACAGCAACAACTGGAAATGATCCTGATCCTGAATTACACACATTTAGAGAAGCAATTGCATTATCTGGTAAGATTAATTTATTATGGTTAATGTGTAAGAAGGCAACATAGTTAATTCATATTAAATTATAATATTAGTAAAATTAGCTACAGGCGTATTTTTATACTTCGTATATTGTCAATTTGCAGTGACATAAATATGTATATTTGAATACTGAACAATGATTTAGTATAGTATAATTATATAGTATAATTTTATTTTGAGCTAATTACAATATTTTAATAATTGGATAGGTTCACCAATGTCTCGGCGTACTGGAAGACAAGCCGAATTGTCGGCCTTTATTAGTAGCGAATTTGCTCGACATCACAAACGGCCTGCTTCGCATGATGTGGATATGGGATCTCCCACGCACAAACGTTCGCGTTTCATGTAACGGCGCGCGATGTGTAAAGTAACCACACTCCCTTGTTCCCCATTAATTAATCAATTGATCAATTAATTATTAACGATTCATCTCCCCTACATAGTTCCCGATTAAACATAATCCTTTCAGGAAGATGGCACTGATTTGCATTGCCATCATGAAACGCATTCGTATATTTTGAATATTTCATATTATCTGTCGAGTTTCTCTTTAACTGTCGATTAGGTGTTTCGACAATTCTGGTTTTGATATTTAAAGATAAGGTGAATAATTTAATTATGAAATAGTCGTTCTAATATAAAAAAATTGCTGTTTGGGGAAATCGTAGCACGAGTATGTTTAAAGTTGGGACACATGGAAATCACTATTGTACGTGGTAGAATTTTGCTTTAAAATTATTTATTTATTTATATAAGCAGTGAGATAATAGTAACGTATTTCAAAATATCATTTGAAGTGCCCATACAAAGTGAATGTCATTGTTTTGTGTACAAGAAATCTATATACGTGATCAATCAATTTATCGACTTGTAAACTATGAAATGATGAAAGCTGCAACTACCATGTTGTACACACAGTTGATGTGTATATTAAAATCAGCAGCGAATACTTGACTATATTTTGCAGCTACTCCGCGGTGTACTGTATCATGTTCAAATGGAATGTTCGGCAAGTGATGAAACGGTGTTTTAATATTTTGTAACTACATTATTGTCCACGATCCTAATAGAATGGGGAAAAAGGGGACTGGGAGATGTTTGTAGAATATTTAATAATCCAAAGGATCGCTTAGCCCTCTGATTATAATATTGTTATGATTATTACGTGATCGTAGGTCATTGATATTTGGAAGCTTATATGAATAAAAAGATCATTTTATACGGATTTTGTTGGCAATAAAAAGGAACGATAAAAGATCAGTGATGGGACAAGAGTATAAGATAACGATCATGAAACAAATAAGTGCGTTGGAAAATTGTTCGTTTTCTGTAATCTTGTAAATTCTGTTTATCAATCGCGGAAGTCACATTTTCTGTTGTGCGACCTCTATATGTAGAGTAACTATGAAAATTGTTTTTTGGATAATATATTTAATTGTCTCTGTAATCCTTTCGTTTGTAATTTTATATCTGCTTTACATGTATTCGTGTGCGATCCCATGGAAGGAATCTAAAAACATTTATTCACCGTATTGTTTTTCTGCGTCATGACATTCACGCCAAAGTTTTAATTAGTATATGGGGTCGAACTTGGAAGCAAGATTTGAAGAGGACGTTAACAAGAAAAGAATATTGTTTACGTTTTACTTTTTCCATGTGTGTCGCGGGTGCTCATAACTGTGTAACTACTGGTAAAAATTCTTAAATAGATTTCGTGTAGTTATAAATCTTAAACAAGCTAGGATTAAGTAATGCTTATATCAAACAGGAGCGATGGATGGAATTAACGGATCGGCGGGAAGGATTTAAATATGGAGTTACTTTTAATCGTTCAGTACCCAATATCAATTGGTTAGCCATGAAAAACATCATGGTAGTGTAAATGTTGATTTACTTCTTATGATATATATATTATAAGCAAAGGGCTGAACAGTCGCGTTAAAATGTGTCTCGGGGCAAAATCTACGTAAAAGCAGTACAATGCTTTTTTTTATCTACTTTTCCACAACTGTTACTATGGACCTAATTAATAAGCGAACTTTCCATCTTTAGTGTAGCCATTGTCAAGAAGACACGACAGCTCTTTGCTATTTGTATGTATATGTACACATACTTTATCGTATGTATACATATATATGCATATTTCATGAGAAGCATTAGGTTCAAAGGCTTACTAGATTGATTTACCACTCATTTTTTTAAGATCACTGTAAATGTATATTATATTTAGGCATTGTGTCTAGAAGAACTTCTATCTGAATTTTGAAGACCAGCAATTCGAAGGAACTTTGGGATCGTTTTATTCAACGGAAGTGCCGGTAAATTAATTTAAAAATGAAGATTGATTTTCCTATATATGCGTTCCGGATTTCCTTCCACATGTTCTTTGAAATTCATTTAGAAGCGAACTCGTTTCTGTTTGGTTTTTTCTCAACATTGAGTACCGTTCCGGAGACGAGCAAAAAAAGTTGTTGTTCAATTGTAAATATAGCGTATGTTTATAATGATAACGATAAACGATAGCCTTAGGAGTATTGCTAATATTATTATCATTATTAATATTGACAACTATGCGATAGCTTTAATAATATTTATCGTATAATCGACAGTTAATAAAACTCCAAGGACTCCACTTGACTCTACTTTGGTAATGCAGGGTCATGTATCTGAAAATTCCATTCCAACGAAATGTAAAGTAATAATATCCAGGGGTATCTTTGTACGTATGAAATTTAGTTGCACAACTGGTTTTCAGGTTTTCATATGATGTTCACAAACTTCGTTTTTCAAAATCTAGGTTAAGAAAGAAACAGTTTTCTTCTGTCGCTGTCCTATAGATTACTACATGTTTGATAAATGTTTCGTACAAAGGTAACTCTTACCAAAAGAACACATTATAGGAGAACACATTGAAGATGCCATACTTAGCAATATTTTATTGATAAGAAGAACATACTTGATGATGGAACATCGAATCATTTTGTATAGACACTGTTGTTTTTGTTTTTGTCAGTAGAGAGAGAGAGAAAGAGAGAGAGAGAGAGAGGTGTTCTCAGATTTATTTTGAGTTTGTTTAGAGAATTGGATTGACAACGTTTTATTGGTTCGAACATTACGCGTGATATTTTCACTGATGCAATTGGCATTTTCTCTCATATTGCATAATGCAACACTAACTGTACACGTTAAACGACACCTCGAGGGCAACAAACAGAATTTTCCCATGTCTATAGAGAGCTTTCCCTTTCTCGTGGGAAAAGGTAATCTTATTAATGATCTACGCTGTGTTGTGCCGAAACAAAGTATCTCTTTCGACTTCAATTTTTCATTATTCATGGCTAAAAATTCTGTACAAGTAATCGTTCTTTTTAAGCGAGTCTATTCTCGAGATTATAAATTCGATATAGGAAAGTATATGAGTAACATATTTCTCATAAGGAACTTAGATTTTACATATAAAGTAATTGTTATTTTCTTTCGAATATCAACGACTTCCGTATTTTCTTTTTTTCAAAGGAATGTGTAATTCGTACTCTCTGCCAAAAGGAGTTTCCAATGAACAAGTTGCCATTAACGCAAAACCGACTGTTCTGTATTCGTATAGAAGTAGACAAAGTAGCATTATAGAGCTCTCAAATTAATCGATTAATAGTAAATTGAAGACGAAAGAATTTAATCCGTTTTTATATTAACGAACCGATAGTTGTTTAGAATAATCGGATAAGGTGAACCAAACACCATTGTATTTATTACCCATTAATCGATTAATCGTACAGCCTTAGTAGATGGGATCGCAAGGAACCACTTCTGTATCATATCTTTTTCACAGTAAATGTAGTCCGTACGCTGGTCATACAGGTGCGTAGAAATGTGTACGTGTTTTGCAGAGACACAGGACATCGTGAAATTTTCTACGAACCTTTTTTATTCTGATGCACATTAATCGTAAACGTGACGTACCCCCTCTTCTCTCCTAACAAGCGTACTATCATATTATAATAATTGCACGAACACAAAACAGCCGTGATATGACACAAAAAATGTTTATGTTCGCGGTGAAGCGAGAAATGGTGCTGTTATTTTTTGCGTACAGAAGAAGCTTCTATATTTTTGCGTCTCTTGTTTATAAGATAATCATTTACAAATAAAATTACAAAGAACACATGGCTACTTCACTGTTACTGTCTTATTTCTCATGGATACCATTCTTCAACGGTGCAAGAAAAGTACAACAATACTTAATGATTGGTCGTATTTACATGATTTATTTCTTTCGCGTTTGATTTGTACAAAATTTGTATAACGTTCGTTTTACTTACATAACGTTCGATCGATAACAAAGTCGAATTCCATTTCCTTAATGCTACTCGAGGGACTTTGTAGAGGTACAGTCTGCTGTGTTGGTATTTACACTTTCATTTACATTCATAATCTTAACGAGAAGTACGTTCCATTAGATTAAGGCACCATACGCAATACAAGAATTAAGGCTAATTGAGGCTTTACACAATAACCTGGTTATTATTAATGTTCCAACGCATCTTACATTTTTCGCATTCTTATGGCGATGATTGAAGTCTGTTGTTTCACAGAGCTGGACGGACGTTTGTCACATTTCAGAACTCGGAATATATGTAATGGCAAACAGCTTTATACGTTCATTCACCCGTTTGATTCAATTGTAACCGAGAGCTGATTTGCGACATAATCTTGTTGGACTTATTACACCGTTTAGTCAAAGGAATTGTCTCAATGTATAAAACCACGTAGAAATGATTGTTTTCAGTATGGAACTGTAACTGAATCAGTTCAAATATTTGCGTAGATCTTTCATTAATACTCATGTACAATATGTTTTTAGAATCAAAGATACTTTCATGGTGTTTCTTTAGGCACTTAAGGGACTTATTAGGCAAGAAGAAAATTACTTTAAGCAGGCCATACACGGTGAGGTTTACCTCGAGGCCTCGATTCATGAGGTTATCTCACGTTACGGGATTTGGGTCTCCCGAAGCCTCCTAATCTGTAGCAGGATGATAGGGGCCGCAACGAACGCATGGACGAAGGTTCCCGAAGGGACCTTTGGGTAATGTGCGTGAGTGAGAAGGCTGAAAAAGAGTCACAAAGGGTGAGATGTACGACGTCCTTACGACGAGAGCGAGCGACAGCAAAATGTATACATATGTATCTAGTATTAATGAAATATTTTAGTTCAGAATTATCCATGAAAGTGCCGTTCTTTGAAAAGCGAATATCCTACAGTAGTATGTACAGCTTCCAAGCAATGAAATATCATTTATAAACGAAAAAAAAGATTGCAATTGTTAGGTATGGCAGTAGACTTATGTATTCAAGAGGCAAAACTACCATGTAAAAAAAGAAAACGGTGTCAGAATTGGCTGACTGGCAGAAATACAGACCCATGTAGGATTTGATCTTTATTTCCCAGAAACATGGGAAATTTCTATATAATATTTTAAAAAGTCTTCCTGAAAAAGACGATTTCTTTCGGAACTCATTTCGTTATGTTTACAAAAAAACTACGAGGGGAGATTTTATCTGGCCTTGAGGCCACTTCAGACCTCCCATCTCCGGCGGATTTCGTCAGGATTGCTTTGTTTATATCATTTGTCTCCACCATCATACTCGGAACCAATACCATCCGTTTGTCAGGAATTACAGCAGCAAAAATGAAGTAGCTGGAGTGAATCCTTTGCACTATAAAGAGGGAAAGTTCTTCTTCAGACGAATTCATATATGGGTATAAAAATTCCACGCTAAGCAGATCACTTTTGTACACGATATTTGGAATTTTGGTCAAATTTATAGTCCATGTGAAAATAAGAGGGGTGTAAGTTATAATTTCGTTAATTTTGAAATCATAAAGATGCCAACCCTAAAATTTTGCAGTTATTACCGAATTTTACGAAAACTAGCTTTACAAAAGAATATTTATCTGTGCAATTATTAAAGATATAAACTTTATCTTTATTTAATTTTAATTGTAAAGGATCGTTCTTTTTAACTAATATATAATGGTATGGATAAAATTATTCCAAACATTAAGAGTATGTGAATATTATGAGATCACGTTGAACGCTTCACTCTTTGTGGCTCTTTCTCAGCCTTGTCACTCATGCCCGTGCATTCGGCACGGCCTACCATCCTATTACAGATTACAAGGACGCTTCGGGAGACCCAGCTCCCCTAATGTGAGACAACCTTGCGAGGCCAGGCCTCGAGGTAAACCATACCGTGTATGGACTGCTTTAAAGATACGCGTTACGCGTAGTGTAAACAATTTACAATCTACTATCTTTGATGACATTCTCTGGCGCGTCTAATGCCTTCTTCCGGTTCGCTATCGCGTTCATCAATTTCCGTTTCGGTCCAAGCGGAAGTCTTAGTACCGCGATGTCAGCTTCGGTGAGCAACATTAAAGCTTCCAGATCGATGTGTTCCGACTCTAAAGCCGGGTGTATAGATAACAGATTATTGGCAACTAAGAATCTTTGTAAAGGCGTCCATTCTTCGTCAGTTTCCTCTTCCTCCTCCTCTTCCTCTTCCTCTATAATCATATGTTTGAGCGTAATGTTTAACAACTTAGAATTTATAGAAAATTTGCTGGATATTATATTTATCTTGTTGCAATGATACAAGAAGGATTATTAACCCAATGAAGATATTTTTACCTGAAAGTAAATCGTCATCCCACATGCTTTGCCTGCGAGCTAAGCTACCTGCGCTTCCTATGCTGAGTTCTTCGTTATGCCCATTTGAACTGGCTCTGTGACCATTTATAGATCCATTTAGAGAACCATTCACGCAAGTGTTGCCGTTTTGTTGATGCGAGTCCATTTGCGAGACAGGTAGATTCTCGAAGGTAGTTGTTATCTGAATTTAGAAAAGAAAGAGACTATTGTACGTTACGCTTTCTGTGAAGTTATTTTTTTGGATATGTTAATGGCAGACAAAAACTAACAAAATACTTTATCAATTATTATGGTAACGTAATGACTTATTTTTCATTCATCGTTTATTTAAGGACATTAACACTTATTGTGTGAAAAGGAATCAACTTTGGTAGCAGTTTGATCAGATTGAAAAGGTTTCTACGAAGTAATTAGTGTTGTGAGTGGTGACCATGCGGAACCTTTACGCTTGCAGCTAGTCATGTTGCAACAGTACAGTCTGAACAAAGTCAATTCGCTATTCAAAATTCTTTCTTCAATTTTTTTCCATTATTTTCATACCATACCAATTTATTTGAACAGTTTGCGCGTTGTACAGAAATTTAAAATTAGTTTTGCAGATCTTGTTATTTTGTAACTAAACCTATATTTTATCGTGAAGGTAAAAGATGATGTTTTTAAACGTTTATTCGATGATGTGTACATGCTATTAATAATTTAGTAATATAGTATAATTAAAAGGCCATAGTAAAAAAACTGGATTTCATTAATGATTGAAAATTTATGAGATACATATACAAGGTGATTGAGAAACAGTGTAAAAAGATTTTGACAGATTATTTGGGAGGTCGTTCTAAGTGAGATGTGTTATATAAAATTGGATTCTATTTTTAATACTTAATTAGACACGATATCTAAAAATTTTAGTGTTGTCATATTAAAAGTACACGCTCAATACGAAGTGATCTTTACAGAATTAAACTAAACTGTAACAAACGGTAAAACGAATATAATAAACTGTAAAAATTGTAAAAAAAAGAACTGTTAAGAAACCCATTACAAATAAGTACATGAGCAAACTTACAGCTCTCCTAAATGCCACCGATCCAAACCCGGGTCGATTGAAAATGCTTGCAGGCTCTTGCAAGAAGGCAGCGTCTCCAGTGCCATTTATGTCCTCTCCATCGTCTTGCTCTAGGTCTTCGTGAAAAGTACGGTCGCCCAAAAGATCAGGTGTACTTTGTGCTTTACTCAATATGCCCCAAACGTCCGAAATTTTCCCTCTCCTTCCCATTTGTTGTGCTTGCGTCTCATAAGTTCCGACGTACATCACCTCAGAATCCCTTCTAAGGCCAGTGAGACTACGAATTGACTTTTTTCCATTTACTTCGATCTAGAAATGCAATATACCTTAGTCACGTTAAAGAGGCAGTAATGTATGAGACAAAAGAATGTCATAGCCTTCAGCTTCTTAACCTTCTAGATTGTTATGAATATAAACCAAAGATGTTTTATTAAATAATTTAGTAAATATGAATTTTTAGCCGCAGAGAAAGAAATCTGTTAGCCATGTATGGTCGATATGGCAGTCAAAGTGTTACCTCCCTCACAGTAAAATAAAACGATAATGCCGAGTACAGAAATCCTAGAGTATGCTTTTTGTTTTTTTTTTCGAAAATTTTGTGTTTAAAAATTTATAGTTTTAACGTCACAGTAAAATGTTTTGTTTTCTCTTGCGTGTGTTTGTATATCTTATATTTTTTAATATACAGGGTGTAACAAAAATGTTGGAGGACCCAGAAATGGGAGACTTTTGAGGTGATTTGAAACAAGGTTTTTCTTAGCAAAAATGTTATCCGAGGTTTTGGTAACATTTTTGCTAAGGAAAAACTTGTTTGAATTTATCTTACGTGTCTTCTATTTCCGGGTATTCCAACATTTTTGTTGGATACACCCTGTATATTATACTTTTAAACAATATACTGTTTAAAACCATTATCTTTTAATCTGTTAACCATTTTTTATCCATTATTTTCTGTCAAATTTACCATCTGTTTTTGAAAAAATCAAAATCTTGTGGTGGCTCAATAAAATTCTCCCACATTTTCCATCACTTTTTGCCATTTTATCAACGAAAATGTCGGTATCTTGTATTGACATTTTATCGCCAATTTATTAAATAGATTGTGAATCACTAATTGATACACGTAACTGTCTTTAGCACACCATTATAGTACTATACTTATATGTATATACTATACTCTTCCGGAAACGTCATTTAAACAATTGCATTTATTCATACTAAATAACTCACATTGAATTTCTTTAAGAAAAATTAGATTATCAGGTGGATTATTGCTGAAAGTTACATTTACTGCGTGTGGGTTTAAATTGGAAAATTGATGTAAAACATTTTGTGAAAAGAATCCTAATCAAAATAAAATCACAAAAAATACGATGCACGGAAAATTATTTTATTAATAACTTAAACAGTTCGGACTCGACAGTTTGCATGAATCTTACGCGTAGTGGAAATGTTCAGTATATATAGTATATACTATGAATTATTAGAATTGATTCATTCTCCCTCTCTATTGAATGTTAATTTTTATTGTATTTAAAGTAGCCGTAGTGAGATTAATTATAGGTATTTGAAGTTATGGCTCATTGTGTACAATAGGTATCAAGGGAATAATTTAAAAGTCTTACCTCTACTACTTTAAAATCATCGACAGCCTTTCTCGCTAAAGCTTTCCTACAGACCGTACTGCCATGCTTCTTGGCGGTAGTGCCGACAATATCGCTGAATGTTGGCGATGGCTTCACTCGACCTTTGAAGGTCAATATACTGGGTTTGCAAGGTAGGATACCAGTTTCGTGCACCATAGCTATGTCTAATTTCGTTCGATCCTTCGACCATTTTTTTTGCTCCTTCTCGGCCCTAATTTCCGCCATTTTTTGCTTCTTCATGTATTCTTTTAACCTGTTCATAGAACCGGCGATATTACGTGTTGTAATGCAATTTTATTGGAAATGTAATTGTAAATTATAAATAAAAATCATCGTATCGTGTTATATCGGTTATGTACATCAAATTGTATCTTGAAATTTATAAATGTTGATTATCTATATAACGTGACAGTGTACATTCGTCATTTTGTAGATTGATTGATGAATAGAGGAAATTAATACAATTTTATTTTCTCTACTGATGACTTTACTCTGTTATATATAATAACGTAATAATCTAAAAATTTCATTAAGTTGTACACAAAAACTTCATTTGGTTATTGTGTGTTACTCAACCATATTTATCACAAATCTATAATACGAAGTCCGCAGTCTAGTGCTAAGCAAAAGTGTAGGCATGTACATAATTATATACCTATGCATCTTCACGCTTATTTCTTTTCTTTGCTAGCTTGCAGAGTTATTGTTTTTTGTTAAATCAATGTTTTATTAGCCTTTCCTTGCAACGGTCGTATTTTATATTATATTTTCTCGAATGGTGAAAATCTGGTCATGAGTTATTGAAAATATGAATTAAGAAACAATATTCCGAACTATAGGTCATTTTAAAGGTTAAAATTTATTTTGCAGAAACGATTAAAACAAAAATTATTTCAGATAAAGTAAATAGGGAACGTTAAATAAACGTTCAATATGATATTGTAAAATTAAGAATTTTAATGATATACATTTTTCTTTTTATACAAATTATTTAGTATGTTACTTAGAGACATAGCTATATAAGTAATCGAATAAATTAATATACGATTAGTTGCAAATTATTTCTGACAATGTAAATAATTAGTTATTAGAATAACCACTCAAAATGCATTAAACAAATGATCAACTTTTCTCTTTGTTCTCCAATTTACAATTGTCTTACAACAGGGAAGTAAAACAATGATACGAAAAGTAGCAAAAAAGAATGTTACAATTTCTCTTTGATTTGAAAAGATTTTTGAAGAACTATCAAATAATGTACAATAAAAACATATGAGAAGATCTAATTTACAGTCGCAGTTCTTTTAAGGCACGATTTAAGTATCAAATAAGTAAATTACGTAATTACTTTTGGTTTATGAAATTATATTTACATTTAAAATAATTATTTCCATAATCGGTTCGTTAAATATAATTAAATGCTTGCACTTTTGCTTGCCTCTGTGGGTATTCTTATATTCCTTTCTTCCAAATACCTTTTCTCAGCATCTTTTTCAGCCTTCTCTCGAAGTATACGGCTTTTCTTACGATTATTAAGCTCTTGATCAGCCTGTGCAAGATCCAGAAACTGGAGAATGGACTCCCTTCCGTTTATAGCAGCTAAATCTCTGGCAGAATGTCTATCGATGTCTAACGACCAAATGTTACAGCCGAATTTTACGAGGAACCTGACGCAATATTCGTGGCCCCTCGCCGCTGTCAGGTGGAGGGCTGTGTTACCAAAATAGTCGGTTTTGTCGGGGTCCCCCCTACGAAGAAAATCGTTACAAAATAAATGGTTGTACCCTCTGTAAGTCTGGGTTACGTTTCCTGTTTTATCCATGTGTTTACATGGTGCCGCAGCTGCACAGGTGCATACATACGAAAGGGCTCGAACGGTGATACCATTTGAAGACTACAGGAAAAAAGCATGATATGCCACATTTTTCTTTTTTTTTATTGAGGAGCAATCTTAACGCTCAAAATGTTCTTAATCAATCCCACATTACCAAACCTGTGTTTTTATTTGGTTTTCGGGTTAAATATGTATTTTTGTTATCCTCTTGCACGTTTCAAAAATATTGATTCTCATAACATTAGTTTTTTAACAAAAATCCTCGGTTTTTTTTTATAAAACTTCGGAACATTCTTTCCGATGGTAAAAATTATTTTGTTCTAAATTGTCTAGTTTTTAATATAATAGTCTAAGAATGATATTAAGTTCATACTGTGTTCCGAGCCAAACAGTGTAAAGTTCACCATTTCTATATACAGAGACTTAATTGTCTTAACACCAGAACTACCAGCATCGAATGTATGATTAGTTAAATTTTATAAGACATTAATATGTGTAATATACATATAGCTTAGTACACTACAGTATGAAGTGTATAAGAAATTAGAGGTTCACATAAATTCCAATGAAAGTATTATGTACTTGATTTCAGTAATTGTAAAATAAAATATCTTAAATCGTAATTTTGACGGGTTCTAGTGTTAAATCCATTCAATTGTGTGATTTAATACATTCTGGTTGTGGGGTCCAGATATTAAAAAGCTCTTGAATTTAAAACTGGTATAAACTCTGAAAATTTTAATGCATACATGTATTTAATTCAATATGTAATATATAATGTTTTTAAATTATATGTAGTTCAATATACAATATATAATGTATATAAAATGTATGTAATTTCATTGCTTTATGAAACACTGAACATCTGTATGATCATCGCCATTAAATATTGCCTGTTCCCGTTCAAAGGGACTTATCCTTCGAGAAAAATACAGGGCACAATGATCCCTGCAGTAACGTATCCTGTCACGTGACGACGCACGAGCGGAACAACGTTCCGGAAGGATAGCAGGTCTTATATCAAATTTCCATCGTGTGTTGACCGCACTGAAGCCAACCGAACAACATCCGATCTTATTCACAATGGAGCACGTGCGGTCTTTCAGCTTTTATATCGTACTTCACGGATCATTGGTGATCACGGAAAGGTAGGTGTCGATTTGAGAGGATCTCGCTCGAGTTACTCTCGATACAGAGAATCCTCGATAAGTGTGAGCCGGTTCCTCCACGATAAGTGTCAGAACGTTATCCCCACCACTGGGGAAGGAGGCCGTGGAACCAGTCAATCTAATACAGCATCGGTTGTAAGACACATTTAAAATAATAATAGTGTAGTACTTCTAGTATGTTATACATTAACGTAGCGTGAAGTAGTACAGTACATATAAATGTATAATATTTAGAATAGTAATACGTATATAATTATAATTCTTCCGTTTTCTATCGTTCGTGGGTCGGTACTTCAATTGTAGAAATGGACTGAATAACAAATAACATAAATAAATCATTTCATCAGCAAGGTGACGATGAATTTTAAATACGTTTGTTGTAAAAATGCACGCTATTACTTCTCTAACTATTGAAAATATGAAAAACTATTTCATACAGAAGTTGTTTGATTTCATAGAACACACTTAATAAAATATTTGAATCCCTTGTTTAATTGTTATTTACAGAGTTTTTAATAACAATGTAATTTTTAAAAATGAAACTGTATATTTTTATTATTGCCATGTTATTAAGTATTTCAAGTTCAAGACGAATTCAATGACATATTTGAAAGTTCTGTTTGAATACTAATTTTTCGGATCAATGTATGAATATTTCTGACAAATGTATAAAATAAATGTAAAATAATAAATAATTCAAACAGAACTGTCAAATATCTCGTTGAATTTCCCTTGAAATGCTTAATAACATAGCAATAATAAAAATATGTAGCCCTATTTTAAAAATGACAGTGTTGTATTTTAAATATGTCTAACAACTCGTGTTTGTAACTTAGTAGATGCGACAATCAAAGAATATGAATTGTATAATTCTACAAACAGACAAGAGGAATTTCGCATAACACGTACATGGTACATTATACAGCTATCTCTAGTTTTAATTTAATTAAAAAATAGCATGTTCTTCCAAGACAATAATCTTTGTAAGACGTTATTTTTGTTAACAAGTTCGTTTGTTCGTGACCACTGGAACTTTTGAGAAAAGACATATTCAAAGATGACATAATGTAAATTTTCTAAAGGAAATTATATAAAGAAATGAGAATTTGTAAGTGACATTGGTCGCAGGGAACTCTAATTCTAAGCTTCAATTAATTGAAATATACATAGATCGGCTGAGAATAATCGTCTGTTCAAGTTGAAACTGATGCTATGAAATACGGTTTGACTGTACAGAGCAGAGTATATGAGATTCAAACGTTCCAAATACATATAAACCTTAAAACGAAGAATTTTTTTTCTCCTACTAACGAACATATATTAAAAAAAATTCTACTCGATTTTCCATTAATACATCTGACATTTCACTAATAAGAAAATTTGTAGCAATGGATCTTGTTTGGATATGGAAATAATTATACTATATTAGGTGAATGCAGTAATGGTCGTCGTATGTAAGTTAATATTGCGGTTTTATGTTATTTTATTGACAAAAGTTCAACTTTTGCTTTAAAAAAAAATAGAAAATACTCATAGATAATAAGAGGAATTATTTTAAGTAACAATTACTTCGAAATGGTTTCTGAGGAAAAAACAGTCATTACTTTTTTATACACCTACTATAATATCCTCGATGGTGTCTCTTACTCCGTACAGCTTTAATTGTTCACTATCGGATTGTTTGCAAAAAATGTTTGCCGATTCTTGTTACAGTATATCGATATTGTAAAATGTGTTAAACCTGTTAAAACTGACTGTCTGAATAGCAATTCCTCGTTCCCCTTGTATATACCCTTCCGTTCTGTTCCCCTCTCAATGTTTTGTTCCGTTCGTATTCGATTGTCTCTCACCGCTGCTGACTTGGCCGCAATTTCCGCTGAGGGGGCGATAGATACCAGATTATAACCTTTACTTCCGGTTTCGCACATCTGTCATCGTGTAATTTGAAACTCAGGTGGTATACACACGTTGTTTGAGAAAGAGAAAAAAAATAATCATTGTTGCACTGTCGAATGCAATTTTTTCGATGCACTGTCGAATGCAATTTTTTCGATGTTTCGTCATGGATGTCATTGGTACGTGGTATTGTTCAAACTTTCGTGTTCACTAGCCACGACGACCTCGTACTTAATTTGCATGATGTTTTCCAAGGTTAAACAGGAGAACAAAGGGACATCGTAAACCTCTCGTAGAAATAATACCTTTTAAATAAATATTTATGGATTCATTGGATTTAGCTTTTTCTTTTAGATTTTGCAATTTTAAACAGTCGATTTGTATAAAGATGAATTTATCAATAGGTCGTTATACATGTCAATACTAGTATCACCGTATTTTAAGATGTTAAAAAGTATCGTAAAATTGTTCTATTAGTATTCGTTACCAATAATTAATAAGATTGTGAAAATAATATATAAAACTAATTATAGTACAGTTATTGCCAATTCTGTAAAGAGAAGTTTCTGCCAAAAAATTTCGATTCTATTCTTTTATGGAATTATATTAATATAAATATACGTACACTAAATTATTTCAGGTTAATACAATATATTTAAATAAAAGTATGGAACGTCCTGATCAATGTAAAAAAATGTCCACTATTTTGTTGCCTATTAAAATACAAACATAACTGTAATGGAGTAAAATAATATTCTTATGTGTGCCAATGAGTATTTCACCGTTTCATTTGGTAATGAAGAAATATCCTTTAACTACAACACATCAACGTTACCCTTTATTTCATAAATTTGGTGTAGGAAATCGCAGAAGAACGAATAACATTTTTAAGATAGTATAGATTATTCATATTTTTAGCAATAGATACGACATTCTATAAAAAACGTGGATTGGTGCATCTAATAATTGCTAGTAAAAAATATCTAAGTACTAATAATTATAACTGTGTTATAAAGCAAAATAGACCGTTTTGTAATGATAGTCAAATGCAAGTGCAATTTCATTCTAAAATTGAACCAGCTATCAGAAGTAATGGATACAGAGGACTCAGAGGAGACCACATTCTACAGATATTTCTCGAACGTGTTTATAATTCAATAGCTTCGTGAGCATACCCTTTGGCGACGAGCAGTCTCAACACATCTATATGACCTTCAAAGGCTGCCCATAATGTGGGGGTCATTCCTCCGTCATCCCGGGCGTTACAATCCTTTTTTGTTGCTTCTTGTAAGATGTCCAAGGCGCGGTCGCGTGCAGCTCTGTAGCAAAAACGATTATTTGCAAATTATTACCAACTATACATTAAAATATATTAAGAGACGCTTTGCGTCGTATTAAATACTATTAGCAATTTTTTCTGGACGTATCAGTAGCAAATTGGATAACTAATGTTGTAAATACTTGCTATACCGATAAACCACTATTCTTAACAAAATAAAACACGCATGTATTTTTCACGCTGCTATGGCGTTTTCGTCTATTTTCAAGCAATTTTTTCGAAGCCTTAATTTTTTCAATCTAACCGTGTTTACATAAAATTTTGTTAGATTTGAGGACAGGGTAACAAAGATCTTCCTGGTATTCGTGATTCTTTTTTTTTTATCGTTATTTCATATTTATAGTTGTACTAACTGTAAGAATAGTTTCAAGATTAATAATATTTATCATTTTTGCATCACCTTCGCCATTTTTATTAAGATATGTTGATTCCAACTACAATCCAAGATCCATTCTTATTCTTTGCAGAACTATTCATGATAGAAAATTAAAGCTTTTTTTTACACTAAAATATAATTACAACTTACAATTGATATATAGGATGTTTAATAAAAATGTGGGACACTCACAGTCTATTTTATTTTGAACCCAATAAAATACTTAAGAGTAAAAATAAATTTCTACATTTGCTCCTGTCTTTATAAATGTCATTTTGCATAAAAATCTGCAGTCTAATAATATGAAATAAACTAATATAAGTGGATACGTATAAACTAGTGAGCTTACTGCCAGATTTACCTGACATTTGTAACATACATATGTATGTATATGCCTGCGACTGTACGTAGCACTGAAACAAGTATGCGTATAATTCCTCTCCTTTTCATTTTTCTACGTTCAATATTAATGGAAATTCGATTTTGTATAATGTTGCACAGATGTACTTTGTTAAGTTTGAAGCAAGTAATAGAGATTTTTTAATCTAGGAAGTAGTTTCACTTACAATAAAATTATGTCAAAAACAAAAGGTATTTCATGTAAAAATGCCTGCAAAAGAGCTGCCAAAACGAAAATGATAATTTTCTGACTTTGGAACAAAGTTACCCCTGACTAAGTGATTCAAAGTTACCCCAATTATGGTATATTAAAACCCTTAGAGTGAAACAATATGTTAATAAATGCATAGTACAAAATTGTGAAATACTAAATTATTGTAAACTGTCGTGTATTTTATAAAGAATATACGATCCTGATATTTAAGTAGTGAAACTTATTACGCGATACGCTTTTATAAGTTGCTAATTACAAATAAAAAGTTGAACCAGTGATAAATTTATGGTAACTGTATTAAATAACCGAAATATAATTAATTATTATCTGCAACTAAACTACTATTAGTTATTTGTAACAAAACTATTACACATTACTATTTACTATTTTTACCCACAAGAAAGTAGTTAAAATAATTTTGTAGCTCTAATAACGAGTTGATCTCGACACATTGCGTGACAATAATACGACTTCGCACGTGATACAGTTTCGCCGCGTTTTCTAACTTTAATTAGTCCTTTTCTACACGAAGGTTCGTATATTCCCGCAACTAATTGTTCGAAAAGTGTTTGATATATTCACGATAATTGCATCATTGAGTTGTCGCGAATGTTTTATAATGTAGTTTTATGTATCTTTATCGCTGAATTCAGAAAAGGTAGACGAAGAAATCTCTGCAAATGAGAAAAGAGGGCAAACAAGTTAGAGAAAGTGCAAAGTATTAACGAGTTACTCGCATGATAATTTTCTCCTTGTTACAAATCATTTAGCGTACACAGGTCTTGACATCTGTGCGCTGTGGGTAATGGATTCGCTGGAATGAAAGTGTAAGTAGAATGAGACGAAACTGCTACAATAGACATTCGATTCCCGCACGAGTCGGGGCTGTAGTTTACAGCTGTAGAGGGCCAGAATTTCAGAAATCGGTGATCAATTACCCGGGTGTTTTCCCCACCACTCGACTGTTCAGTTGTGCGACGCAGCTACATATAGGGTGGGCTGGATATACGCACTTTATGGTTACGTTAATTATTTCCGTAATTGTTGGAGATATCAGGAAAGTTTATTCGCAGAAGTTGTTTACTATGGAGAGGGCTGTTACTTAGCAGTAACAATGTTTTCATAGGTGGAGGATCCTCTGAGTTTTCAAAGTTAATTATGTCTTTTTATTAATGATATTGGTAATAAGAAAATAATAACTGTTACCGACATAAATATGTGCTCGGATAAATATCAAATCGTTTGGTTGATCATTTACGTGCTTTCTGTGATTGTTCTCAATGACAGTGGTAGAAATATATATGACGTTTCTATTTATTTACGAATGTCAGAGATATTTACTGATCAGGCAGCATTAGCTATGCTCAGTATTAGAGAAAATGTCATAATAGCGAGTGGTAATAACGATACAGTAGTGGAAAATTAAGATATTCGTGAAGTGACGAGTGGTATAGCTGTTGAAAGCATTGTTAATTCTAAACGTATTCGTCGTAATAAGGTTTTTTATTAATTTTAATTTCATTTCAGAAGAAAATGTGTTTAACTAATTAAAATTTAGTAACGTTAAATTTGTATTAAAAAATAGTTTGAATATTTAAAAAATCCAAATAAAGTTAATTTAATAATTATGACCTTAATTAACCCGTAACCGATCTCGGGTAGTCTAGGAGACTCCCGCAAAATTTTTGTTTTGTCACACTTATTTCTACGGACTATCTAAAATTAAACATTATATATATAACTCCAGTATGTATAAGAAATAAGTGTAGGCTTGACAATGTCAAATTATTTAAGATACAAAAATGGGGCGACGTCGGTTACGGGTTAAAAGTCACATTTTATTTCAGCTCATTTTTGTTACGTATGGAGAATAATTTTATTTTCAATCGTATTCTATCGTGCGCCTGGCAATGGAAAACACTCTAAAATTCCGTCTGTTTATTCCTCGAGTAATAGGAAAGCGTAATCTCGACCAACTGGATAGCAACCTAAAGACAGAATCATGATTCACTCGCGACTGTTAAGATTTCCTCGTAAAGAAATTCTAATGAAACCTCACCCAGTTTTGGGACTATATAAACCCTCTGATTTTAACCCTCGGGGGCCAGAATAGTACAGTCACTTGTAGAGGTAGTATATACCAGTGTATATCCGGTAAAAAGTCGGTTGTATCCAGTGAGATCGGGCTTAAGTTCCCTTTCGAATTATCAGTTAACCTTATAGAATCCGCGAGTTCGGTTGAAGTACTATTCGGCAATCTTTCAAAACCACTCTTACTTCCCGTATTACTAGTGCGTTAACACCGAGCATTTAACCGGTAATATAACATTTAATACTTTACCGCGACAACACTACACCTTTTACACTTGTACCAAAGACTGCTTGTATAGTTTCCACGTAATGTTCTTTAATAAACATGAATAATTTTATTATTAAAATTCATTGGTTTGGTAATCATTACAATCGTAGTTGACCTTTCCCACACGATACAACGTTACCGCTCGAGTTGTGTCTAAATTCATAAAACGAGTTACGAGGCTTAACTAACATTTCCTGCGGCTTCCTGATTTCGCATAAGGTTCGTCCGCACGTCTTACTTTTCCACGAGTTTTCCAACCTAGTGGCTCCCCCACTTCGCGTCGGATTCGTCCACGAAACTTGACCAATCCAGCGGCTCCCTGATTTCGCATCAGGTTCGTCTGTACAGATTTTCCACCCTCCTCGCAGCTCCTCAGCTACGCGCTGAGTTCGTCTGCAAAATCTCATCCTAGAAACTCCCCGATTTCGCATCGGGTTCGTCCTCACTTTCGACCATCCTAGCGGTTCTCTGATTTCGCATCAGATTCGTCCGCGCACCTCACTAACAAACTGATAAACCATATTCCTTGGAAGACGTACTCCGCCGGACTCTCGCGCTGCTCGCCACCCTGGCTCGTAACACTTTACTTCAGGCAGGAGCTCACTTTACGCCATACATGCGGTAAAGCGAGCCTTTTGGCGTTTTGTTTTAAGTTGAATTTTAAAATATTTGAAGTTTGTCTGAAGTATTGCTACTCGTAATTTGTCAATAGTAATGTTTAAATTATGTTATAAATTTATTCGTACACATTTTTATCGAAAAGAAAATATTTTATTCTACTTTAAACTTTTTTAGGCTCACTTTGCCCCGATCTCCCCTACAATGAATATAGATTGGCACGAATATAATAGCAACTCTACAATGGCCAATTAGTTTCTTTCAATCTTAAAAGGTAGACAACGTGTAATAAAACCGGTTGTTTTCCAAATTGTATGCTGTATAAAATTTTGTTAAATGTACCAAAAAGGAAGAAACAGTTTCGAGTTGACATCACACGGCCCTGAACGAAGTTCAAGTACCATAAAAGTCTCATATTACGGGTTTTACGCCCAAATCTAGTACAACCGAGTATACGGATCCATTTAAAAAAATGATTCTATTTACTCGCCCGTCGATTTTCTCGTTGAATTATTGGCAGATTGCTACAATATTGCGTTCAGACTGGGCGAGTGCGCAGCCGAGTGTCCACGGCGCCGGTTTGCTCGGCCAAGCACTGGAAAATGTGTTCACACTGGGCGAGTGCTCGGCCGAGTGGCCCGATCTCCGATCCCGTCCCGTCCCAAGCCCCTAGTTTCGGGTACCCGGACACCCCTAGAGAATAGTCGTATTCGAATAAATAGAAAATTGCTACTTAATACAAATTTCACCAAAGAAATTCTACATCCCGATGAAGCGATCGCAATGAATCATTTCACGGTAGTGTGTACCGTGTAGAAACGAAGCAACGTGATGTTTAATGCCGCATCGGTTACGAAATAACAAGTTTTCCCCGGTATGACAACCTATGCCCTATTTGAATAGCAGCCAGCGATCGAAATTTCTGAATGCAATACTTCGTTCTCATGGTTAACCAGGCATATCATTTTTTTCATTCCTAGCCGGAGACAAGAATCTGGCTCCGCGACATTTCTCTCTGCTTCCTGGGTCTCGGGGTATAATAGATATCCTGCTACGGGCCTGAGGGTGTACTACCGATTCCATGGAAACAAGAACACGAAAACCCGACGGTATGCGAAAAGTCTGTCGCTGGTTGCAAAGGGAAACTCACTTGTGAAACCGCTCGGACGTCATTTCTGTTCGTTGTCCCTTTTTCGGAGTTTTGTCGTTCACCGATGATAAACATCCCTACCGAGCCGGGGACTAGGTTGTCTGGCACTTCTTACGTAAGGGTTATTTTGAACAAACAAACGAACACGGGGATTAAACCACCGTGCATGCCACTCATCGGGAATCGAGGAACCACGCGTGCCGAGTATGGCGTCCAGCGGTGCACTGTTCAAACGGACGTAGGCAGTGTAGACACTCCGACGATCTTCTGTTGCCACTCACCCAATCTGTCCTGCTCCCAACCGTTAATTTGATAAGTCCTCTCTCTCTCTCGCTCACCCGTTCCAACCGTGTTTTTCACTTATACCGACTGCCCCGCATGTATACGGGCCGCCACCTGCCGTTCGGTATTATATCGCTGCGCAGTGTGCGACCTGTCTCTACTTTACCGACCAGACTTCGAAGAGATCACTTACGAGATGCATACAGTAGACATTCGATTCCCGCACGAGTGAGGGCTGTAGAGGACTAAATTTCCAAGAACCGTGCAGGAATCGGTGACCATTTACCCGAGCGCTTTCCCCACCACTCGGCCGTTCAGTTGTGCGACGTAGCCGCATATAGGGTGGGCTGGATATACGTACTTTACGGTTATGTTAATTATCTCCATTATTTTTAGATATCTCAAACAATTGTATTCACAGAAGTTTTGTAGTATGGAGAGGACTATTACTTAGCAGTAACAGTTTCTTCGTAGCTGAAGGATCTTTTGAGTTCTCAAAGTTAATTATGTTGTTTTATTAATGATATTGAAATACTATGGAATAAAAATACTTTTTTTTTATATATAAATCGATCCTTCTAAATATACTGCGTAATAAAGTATTAAGGTATTATGTGAAAAAGTTAATAATTCGTGACATATTTTAGTGGCAAATGTCTAGTTTCGTTAGCACTTTCATCAATTACGTGTTATCCGCGAGACAAGAAGCAATGAAATTGCCACCAATATTTATTCCACCAATATTCATTGCACCAATAAAAACAATGCAACATTTTATTAAAGCAGTATTATATACATTTCGCTGTTTCTGATGAGTGATGAGATATTCGTGTTAAACGCGACACCGTATGTGTCCGACTTGGGTGTGTGGGCGACAGAGTAGGGTACGTGCACGTGTGTCAGAAATACGTGTAAGCGAGGGGCGTGGCTTCCGTGCAGTACGGTAGCGCGGGAATTGAATGCTACTTACGTGTGAGCAAGGGGCGTGG